CACATAATATTTATTTAGTCAACTATTTAGGCATTTAGTCAAATTTAGACTTTTGACATGTTGAAAAAAAATAATGCTATGTCGAAATTAATTAGGCACTAATTGTCTAAATGATTGACTAAATTAAGTATTTCGACTAACAACATTATATAACACCCAGAAAAGCTTTATACTAATTACTTGTCCACATGTCAGTTGTAATAGAGATCTTACTTGAATTATTTATTAGGAGGTTTTTTTAGTTCTGAGTATCAGTTTAACAAATCCTGCTTAACTGTCCTGGCAGAGGGAAGTGTAGTCTTATTTTCTAATTTTTTAATCATCTCAACTAACTTATAAAGCTCTTTGATTCAACAGTGGTAAAAGGAAGACCATCGACAGTAATCTACTTAACTAATGCCTCTCTAAGAATTCTCTCAATTGGCCAAGAAGCTTCAATTGGAATATTTCTAGACCTAACTACTTCAATGATATTGACTTTATAAGCGTTAGTGATATGACTACATAGGCTAGAAGTGGCACCTTTGTTTAGAGTGAGGTATGTTTTTTTGTCAGTGCACAACTTGCATTTGGCTTTCATTTTACCATCCTTTAGAGCAGGTGATTCAAAGAAAAGCTATATTGAACTTTTGGTTAGAACTTTTGGTGCTAGTACGTTTGTGTTAGTAGAAGAAGAAGAAGAAGCTATTGTTTGAAATAAGATAACAAGTATGCGATAAACTTAATAGTTTAATATTTAATTGATGATCCTCCAGTCAACTGAAGCATGATCTTAGTAAAATGTGATATATAAATTTACTATGGTGTAAATGTGGCGTATACGCATCTAAAACTTTTTTTTATACTAAGTTAATCATCTTTCTTGCTTAAGAGACTTTTGTAAAGCTTGTCAAGATGCATCTAATGGTGGTTAGAGCGTCAAAATCGGCCTGGTAAGTACTGAGATATCTTTAAAAAACCTCTCTTTTACTATGTAAAATTTTTTGCAAAGAATTTTACATAGTAAAAGAGAGGTTTTTTTAAAGATATCTCAGTACTCACCAGGCCGATTTTGACGCTCTAACCACTATTAGATGCATCTTGACAAGCTTTACAAAAGTCTCTTAAGCAAGAAAGATGATTAACTTAGTATAAAAAAAGTTTTAGATGCGTATACACCACATTTGCACATAGTAAATTTATATAGTAATCTGAGTCACATTTTACTAAGATCATGCTTTAGTTGACTGGAGGATTATCAATTAAGATATAATTTTATTTTTTATAAAATTGAACCTTTTAACTTCTTTTTTTTTCTATTTAACAATAAATGACTATGTGAATAATAATCACATATATACATAATAATTGTGAATAATGACCGCTCGCAATAATTATACATATTGTCTATGTATAACGATTACTCATGATGATCAAGCATAATATTTACGCTAATATTTATGCATGATAATTGTGAATAACAATCATTCACAGTAATAATGCATACATAATATTTGCGCATAATGATTGCTCATAATCATGTATAATATTTATGCTTAACATTCACACACAACAATTGCTCATAATAATCACTAAATGATTACTTATTATGCATAATGATCGCGCATTATCATGATCATGCATAGCAATCACGTATAGCAATTATTCATTGAATTTGATATATCCTTCAATTATTAATCTGACCACAGGTGTTGTATTTGTTATTATTTACATTCACTAGTAGAATTTAAAAATTTAAAAAAAATATAAAGCACTTTTAATTAAATGTCAAAATAAATAAATAAATAAATAAAGAGACCAACTTCTTTTAGCATAAGAGTTTAATTGTATTATCTCACAAATAAACTTTATTTTTTCGTTTATTATGTTTTATTCAATTATAATAATTTAGACCAAATTTTTATTATTAATAAATTTGCTATACTAACAAAAAAAATGTTTCAAATATATCTAAAATAACAAATAAAATGAAAGTAAACTTTCATGAACCTAAACAGCTAATTTTAATATTACCTGCTAAATTGACAAAAGTAAAGCATGATGAAATTAAAGTATTGTATAATACAATATATTAATTATTTTGGATAATCGTAAAATCAGATTATGGTGAAAGGGTCAATTCAAAAATACAAGCTCTATCAAAATTCATCTATACTCTTTTACTAACAACTAACCCTAAATCTAACTTAACTATAAAAAAAAAGCTGACCTCAATATTTTTAAAAATCGTATATAAAATAAATCCAAACTTCACCATCATCCAATTTCATGATAATAATTAAATAAATTTCATAAAAATTCTACTATACAAGTCATGATGAATAAGTCTTAAGTGTGAATTATTTGAAAAACAGATGCAATACAATATAATAAAGTTAATTTATCTATCTAGTTCATTTGTGACATAGTGTAAAGATTTTGATATAGAGAACCTATTGCTGCATATTCCAGGACAAAACACTTTAAAAATAAGGGGTGCTTAAAGATAACATTACAATATGTTTTTAATTTAATATTAAATATATACTTAATTAATAAATAGCCTACATACTACTGATAGTCAAACAAGATCTCTATAACATAAATCTTCACGAGCCTAAACACTTATTTGTGGGCCAATTTGTCAAATGGAATCCATTCAATTGCATTTTCAGAGTTCTAAGCTGAAATTCTCAAATACAATCATTAATATTCTCATTTTTACTTGTTGGAATCACATTCCAAATACCATACTTTAAACTATTAAGTTATAGTAAAAAGCCAACTGCTCCCAAAACCAAGAAAGTACTTTTTTATTCCACATATCTATCAAATGGCAAATAAAAAGGAAAAGTTGGATGTAAATTGTGGCAGATCTAACCCACAAACTTAAAAAATTTACTTACTAGAATAGCAGGGCTAAAATTGTATAAGGTTGAAAGTACTATTAAATACTGTAATATATTATTTGAATTAAATAAGATTATATTTTTTAATACAACCTTTAATGAAACATTTTTTTTTCTTCGCATGTCTGCTTTGCTTGTTTTAGACACCTCAAAATTAATTAGCATTATCCTTTACTCTAATAAAATAAATAAATAAATATTTAATAATCAAGATCAATAAAATTACAAATATGTTTTTTTGACATTCTAGACTTTAACTGAAAATCTAGCTATAGCGTGACTATGTTGTGAAACTACTCTAATATATATAATATAAATAAATAGGTTATAAATAATGCAATATACGAAATATAATAGTGCTAGAATACTACGGTACTACTGCTACGAAGTTTAAAGTCAGATTAGTTCTAAAAATAAAAATTTAATTTAAACCTGTTTCATGAAATCGATAGATACTCGACTTTTTCAAAAATTCAAAAATCAAACTTTTGCTTGATTTTGCCAAGCACTAGATTTTATTAATGATATTTAATTGAATCAAGAGCTATTTTCAATGAATGAGCCTTATATTCTTCATTACTGAAACTATAAAAAAATAAAAAAAACATAATTATTATATATTTATTATATTTTTGTTATATTTTAAAAAACATAATAATTACTAGTGATAATTTAATAATAATAATATAAATAATACATATTAAAACTATTTTAATAATATTATTAAAAATGTTTTAAACCTATTTTTAAACCATTTTAAAAACAAATTAATTATATTTATAAACTATATTTACTATATTTTAAAAACATATTTATAATACTTTAAAAACATATTTATAATATTTTAAAACATATTTATACTAATTTAAAAATATTTTTATAATATTAAAAAAACATTTTTATAATATTTTAAAAATAGAAAAATATATATATGTAACCATAACTATATATAGCCAATAACTAAATAATTATATATTTATTACATAATATATATAATATATAACAATTATATTATACTACTAATACTAACTAACTCTAACTATCTAAAAAACTGCCAAAACTACTCTAGCTCTAACTAATACTATAAGTATTTCACACTTCAATAATAATAATGCTAGTAACAAAAATATACACCACACCCAAAGCATAACACCAGCAAAATGACATAAATACTACACCAATAAAAAAACAAACGATGAAACTGCTAACAAAACTGAAACAAAAAACACTAATAACACCAACAATAGTATTTTGCAGCTTAAATAACAATGACACCAACGATGAAGGTATTCACTACTCCAATAACAATGAAACCAGTGATAAAAAATTACACCACACCATTGGCAAGGATATTTTCATAAAAGGAGTATTAGTAATATGTATAAAATTCATGCAAAGAAAAAAAAACAAACCAAAATAGAAGTATATGTATTATACCCAAAACATAACAACACCAGCAAAGTTGAAGACAAATAAGCGACGACACCAGCAAAACAATATGAATAACTATATCAATAAAAAGCAAACACCAACAAAGAATGAAAGTGCCAACAAGAGTAAAATAAAAGCACTTAACAACACCAACAATAGTATTTCGTGGCTCTAATTATGACAACACAATAAAAAATATACATCATACTAATAACAATGACACCAATGACAAAAGTACTTTTGTAAAAAAAATGAAGAGTATTAGTAATATACAATAAAAAAACAAACTGAAATAGAAGTATATATACTTAAAATACCCAAAACATAACCAGCAAAGTCAAAGCGAATAGCTACACTACTAAAAAAAAAATACCAACAAACAATGAAAGTGCCAACAAGAGTGAAATAAAAAAACTAACAACACTGATAATAGTATTTTGCGGTTCCAATAATGACAACACCAATGACAGAGAAATTTACCACTTCGAAACAACATCATGCTAATAACAACGACACCAACGGTGAGGGTATTTTTGTAAAAAAAAAAAAAGAGTATTAGTAATACATATAAAGATTCATATACATACTAAAATACTTGCAAAGCCGAAGGCAAATATGTAATGATGCCAGTAATTGACGAATAACTACACCAATAAAACAGCAAACGATGAAACTGCCAAACAAAATCAGACAACACCAACGAAATAGCCACGCTGGCTTATTAAAAGGCACTAGTAATGATATTAGTAATAACACCAATGATAACCAATGTCGACAACACCAGCAACGACTAAAAAGCACTAACAACATCTACATCGACTTAAAAGAAATGCCTAAAAGAAAAAAATAAACGCGAAGAAACTGCATGAAGAAATTTTTTTTCAAAAGATCTTAAAATTGAACCAAAAAAAAAAACTGATTATCATGATCGCTATTTATTTACCCCATGATTAGGGTGTCGATCCATCAAGGACCCGTCAAATTTTAAAGTTTAAGCAAGTTGAGACCTATATTTCAAAATTTCACAATTTTGGCCTGCATTATTCAAAAAAATATTTGATTTGCTTATTCTTTTATCTTCTACAATGGATTGGACGTAAATTTTTAATTAGATGAGTGATCGCAATAGTACTCAAGCAAAATTATATTTACATAAAATTTTTATTGAGAATTCGAATATGTAATTTATAACATAATTGAAATCTTCTTAAGCATCATCTTTGATGTGATTAATTAGTGATCATGATAGTGCTCATTTAATAGAATCAATTGAAATAAACATTGCAATCAGTATTTGAGCTGTTCTTTTATTATTCGTCAAAAATAAAAATAAAAAAATAAAAATAAAAAAGTGAAAAATAAAAAACAAACCCAACTGCTAAACAAGAAGCTAATGTTGTGAATTATCGAAAAGTATCAACTTCAGCAGCCTCTGTTGCTCTGTTTACCGATTTCACAAATTATAATATGTTATTCCAACAACAATATCCCGCCTCTCTATTTTTTATGAATTTATTAGTTGCAAATAAAGCTGCTATTGAATACAAAGAGGTGTTATTTGCATATTTATTTAGCAACATAATAATTTAATAATAATTTTTTTTTTTGTCATAGGCATCAAATAATTTAGAACTGGTTTCTAATGATGATCCAGCTTCAGCTATGGATTCTACCTCTTCTAAAGTATTAAACAACAAACTATATTGTTTTTTGAAGCTTCTAATTTTTTTTAGTATTCATAAAAATGTTTAGTGTGAGAAAGTAAAATAATAATTCGTCACTGAATGTAATGATTCATGGCAATGTTACTTGTGTGGTCTTTTTAAAACTCAATTGATTGTAAAATTTTCAAGACAGATATAAAAAAAAGATGTTTGTTGTAAAAAGTTTGTTGATTTAAGCTGTTCTCAAGCATCTAAATTAATTGATTAAATAATAACCGTGATGACGCTTAAGCATCACAATTGATAACAATATTTATAGAATTAAATGCTTGAGCATACTTTTTCTGTTTTTTGTAATATTCACTATACTACCTAAAAAACCAATGAAAAAACTTTCTTTTTAATCAACCGTTAAAGTTTCAACTTTAGTTACTTTTAATGATTTTAACAATTTAAAATTCTTTAATATGGAAAAACATCTACCCAAACTTTTCAATTTTAGGTCTTTTTTACTGAGAAGATATTAAATTTAAATGAGTGAAAAGTGGAATAATAGTATTAATTATAATTTGGTTAAACGTTAAAAGAATGTTTGATGTTGTATTTATTATACTCATATTAATCTATCAATTATTTGTTTTAAAAGCTTTGAATATTAAAAAAAAAAGTGGCTATCCTTTTAGACTGGTGAGAAATTCATTATTTATTATGTTCGATATGCAAAAAATATAAAAAAAAGTGTTTGAGCAACCTATATCAATGATAAATTTTTAAAGAAAAAAGGTGGTTTGTATCTCCCTAATTTTGGCATCGGAATGGTAACTCATTTGATTTATTTATTTAATTTCTGACTAATTAAAAATTTGCTTCTGATTACTTGATTGAGGTGCTTGAGAACACCTTTAAATGATTAATTTTTTTTATTAATAAAAATTTCATATTTACATAATAAGCTTTATCAATTATGCATATTCATCTTAATGCTTGATTAATTTAAACTATTTTCTGCTAAATAAATTTTATTTTCCAATGCTTTTTGCTCCATTGATTAAAATGCTTTAGAACACCCTAAATAAATTAATCAAGTGATTTTTTCTCCAAAAATTTACCATTGATAAAGATCGCTCAAGCACCATTTTTACATTTTAACATATCAAACATAAAAAACAATGAATTCACAACAAATTTCACAACAAATTTCAAACTGGTCTAAAAAAAATACTCCTCTCACAATTTTATCCTAAAAAACCCCCTAACTCTAACCCTAACCCTAATCTAACACTAACTTAACCTAACTCTAAATCTAACCCTAATGTTAATAGGCTGCATAATTTTTCTATAAAAAATAGTATGGCTACAAGTAAATTAATTCTTATTTTAATATTATTAAATCTATTTTAAAAATATTATTTTTATATTTTAAAAACATTTTTAAAATAAGCTTTTTAAAAATGTTTTTAAACTATTATTTTAATATTTTTAAAACTATTTTAAAAATATTATTTTTATGTTTTAAAAACATTTTAAATAAGCTTTTTAAAAATGTTTTTAAACCATTATTTTAATATTGTTAAAACTATTTTAAAAATATTATTTTTATATTTTAGAAACATTTTAAAATAAGCTTTTTAAAAATGGTTTTAAAATATAAAAATAATATTTTTAAAACTATTATTTTATATTTAAAAAATTTTAAAATAAGCTTTTTAAAAATGTTTTTAATACATTATTTTAATATTATTAAAAAATATTATTTAAGTAATCAAATGTATTATTATATAAGATTAGATAGTTTTAAGGTTTATTTTTTTTTTGGTTAAAAAATATTTCTTACATATTTAGTATGAGAATTAAATTTAGAACCAAATTTAATTGCTTTTAAATTTCATATTAATAGCAAGTTCTGTCATATCCAATACAAGTAAGCTGTGTGTCACTACAGTAGTAAGTTCTTTGCAATGTGTATTTTTGCAGCAAATCAGGACAAAAACTATAATCAAAATACAAGCTAACTCAACCATTACCTTATACAATCTTGAATAAGCAAAATTTTATACTATGTTACTTAATCTTAACCACATGATGTGTATTGTCAACCAGTAACACATAATAGAAATTATGACAATTCAACTTTTAACTATATACTATATATACTGCAATGGTGAATAAGTTTACAAGTAACTTGTGACGAATATTTCAATATGAACTAACTCAATATTAACCAAATAGCAATTAAGTTATACAACAAAATTTTTATAGTAACTTATGATAGAAACCTCGATAGTTTTATTGCAAACTAACACAATCTTAATCACATATCTATATCAGTAAAATAATGAGTAAGAGTAATCAATATTACAATAATTTCAATGCATACTATAGAAATCATGATAATTTCTTAACCACGTACTATGTGTTACCAAATAGCAATTAAGTTATGCAACAGTAAGTATGTACGATATTCAAACTAACACAACCTTAATTATATGCTGTAGAATAGAGTAAGTTCTTCGAAATTTTTTTTACAGTAATTCATGATTAAGATTCTAATAATTTCAATGCATACTAACCCATATTGTATGTATTTACCAGAATAGAACCATGTACTGTGTGTCACTAAATAATGCAACAGAATTTTTACAAAATCTTACATAATAGAAATACAATAATTCTGATGTTCAAACTAACGCAGCCTTAATTATATACTATGTGTCACTGGAATAGAGCAAGTTCTACAGAATTTTTTACAGTAATTCATGATCAAAACTACAATAATTTCAATGCAAGATGATAGAATCATGATTATACCAATGCAAACTAGCTCACCTACTACATGTTACTAAAAAAAATAACAAATAAGACAATAAAAAACTAACTTAACCACACACACTGTGGTTACCAAAATAGCAAGGTAATAGAAATTATGATAATTTTAATGCAATCTAACCAAATCATATACCTTGTATTACTAGAATAACAAATATAGTAAATAAATTTTACAAATTTAAGAATATAGCTTATAGCTAGTTACATGACCCTAGTTTTAAAAAACTCTATTTTTTCTAATAACAAAAAATTTAAGCAAAATTTAGTTTAAATTTAATAAATCTTAGATAAATTTTGATAAATTTTAGATAAATTTTTAAAGTACTTAATAATTCAGTATTTAAATTTTGCGTTATATAATATATGTCTTAGGCCATTTTCAAGCATCTAAATTAATTGATTAAAGAATAATCGTGATGATGCTCAAGTATCACAATCAATAGAATTAAATGCTCTTTTTCTATTTTTCTTGATCTTCATTATGCCGCCTAAAATGTCTAAAAAAATCCAATAAAAAATTAATGATTTTACCAATATTAACTTATAGAATCATTAGCAAAAGTTGCTTTGCAGCAACAAGAAGTAAAAAAAAATTATTAAGTTCATTTAAGTGAAAAATGAAATAGCAGTATTTATTACAGCATGGTTAAATATTAAAAGATAGATTGTATTAATTATGTTCATATCAAGGTGCTGATTATTTGTTTTAAAAGCTTCAAGCATTAAAAATAAAGAGGCTATTTTTTTAGACTGGTTAGAAATTTGGTGTGAATTTTGTTATAAATTCAATATTTATTCTATTTGATATGTTAAAATGTAAAAGTAATACTTGAGCGATCTTTATCAATGGTAAATTTTTGGAGAAAAAAGGTGGGTTATCTTATTGATTTGTTGATTAAATTGATAATTTACTTGATTGATTTATTTAATTTTCAACTAATTAAAAATTTATATCTAATTCATTGAGTAAGGTGCTTAAGAATAACCTACATCAGCTTCTCCCTTTAATGATTTTACTAACATTAATATTTTGTTGTAACTACAACAGGTTTTAGGTCAAAATCCTGATGAACAGAATCCTGACAGGGTCAAAATCCCCAAAATTGGCCAGGATTAGCTTAATGTTAGCCAATTTTTAACCCTGTTGGGATTCTTATTTTTGGAATTTTGACCCAAACCCTAATAGTAACAATTTATAGAATAATTAGCAAAAGTTGC